AAGATGGGTGGACTTCAACTCCCAGAATTCCCCAGCTGGGGAATTCTGGGAGTTGAAGTCCCCCCATCTTAAAGTGGCCAAGTTTGAAAAACACGGATCTAGTCCAAATCTCAGGTCAGTGAAAAGGGCAAGGCAGCTATTACTGTGAACTGGGCCTGCTCCAGATGACTCTTATGGGGAATTCTGGGATTTGAAGTCGGCACAGCTGGGTGACGCTCAGGTAGGACCGCAGCATTCCTCGCCCGTGACTTTTCCCTTTCAACACATCCAGGGAAAGAGAACCAAAAGGCTGTCAGAAAGGCTCTTCCTGCTAAACAAAATCTGTACCCCTGCCGCAGCCGCTCATGGTTCTAGTCCTCATTCCTCCGGAGGCAGAATCTTCACCGTCCCCCCCCACACCTGTTGGTCTTCTGCCTGGCCCAATGAGAAGGACAGGTGTCCTCTCAGACCCACAGCTAGCTTTCATTAGAAGAAAGAACAGCTCATTCTTTTAATTGGTGGAGGAATATTTATTTTTGTAAAAAAAAAAAAAAAATCAAAAACAGGGAAGGGGGACCACTACAGCGAAGGGGACGGGGGCTACATAAATAGAATAAATAAAACTACATATCATTGACAGTACTGAGAGGTGGTGAGATGGTCACCGGTGGGGAGCAAGACCCTGATCAGATTGGGGGAACACGTCAGGCCGGGATCAGCCCTGAAGCAGCGGCAAAAAAAAAATTAGGAGAGGGTAGTTGGATAAAGGAATGCCTGCTCATGTAGAATTTTTTATTCTTATTTTTCTTGGGAGGGGGTGGGTGAGAGTGAGCTAAAGTAGTGATAAACCTCAGTCCGGCGGGGAGAAGCATGTCTCCATCCGAGCCTCCAACACCTGATGGCAGCACCCACGGGCCCAGCTCCAGGAAGCTTTTGCTCCGGATTCTGTCGAAAGAACCCAGATCGAGACCTCAGGCGTCGGATGCAGTAGCTTATTAACCAGTCGAGAATTTATTTTGGCTGATCTTAAAAAGAAAAAAAACGAGCAACCACCTATAAATCGTATGAGCGAACGGCTGAGCCGATGGACAGCAACCTCTGGCCTGTCTCCCCTTCGCCGGTTTCTTGATCCGGGGTCGGGGGAGAAAAAACTTTCCTGCGCCTGAGAAGAGGCTGAACGCCCCAGGAGGGCCTTTCCGTCGAAGCCCCCCATCCCTTGATCCCGGCTGGACGACTTGCGAGAGGAAGGCGGAAGTGAGAGAATACGGGTGGGGGGTGGGAGAAGACCCCCCTCCAATTCTCCTTCACGAGGAAAAGAAGACAAATTTTAAAAAGTTGAGTGGGAGTTTGCCAACGGTTGATATCTTCCTGGTGCTGAAGGTAGTGTTGGAGAGGGTCAAGCGGTAGGGCTCAACCCCCTTTTTGAAAAAGGCGCTAAGTGGACAGTGAAGTCGGGAGGGCTGGAGCTGGCCACTTAACGGAAGGTGGAGACCCTCCAAATATCCATCCACAAACAGCTTGGGGACAAGATGCCCCCCCCGTCGCTCATGCTCTCCCAGTCCCCTCAAAGCGGGATCCAGTCCTACGAAGCGCGACGGGCCCTGGGTGGGCTACCCGCATTCGGGAAGGAAAAACCCGCTGATGGAGGAACAAAATTCCCAAGGGAATGCTGGTGCCGCCTGGCTTGCCCTTCCCACCCGCCCCTTCGCATGTCCAGTTCGGCTCCGCTGGCCTGGGCAGAAAGGCGATCGGTCTCCTCCAAGCTCCCAGCCGGGATGAGAGAATAATTCCAGACTCAGGCGCCTCACTGCAGCTCTCGGCATCGTCTTTTTAATCTGCGGCTCTAGGATCTGTGCGATTGGCGGAAAGGGGCCGGGAAGCCGTGCGCCGGGCTGTGTCTCTGGCCGAGGGCCGGGGGGCGGCTGGACCTGCTCGACTTGTTTGGACCGTCTCCTTCTCGGCACCCTTGGCTCGCTTCGGCACTTCCAGGCTGGGGGCCACCTTGCTAAACGTTTGGAGGACAGCTTCCCCCTCGCTGTGGGTCGTGGCAGCAGAGCCCGGCTCCGTTTTTCCTGCCGTGGGGCTGGGTTTGGGGTTCTCCGAGTTCGGAGCCTGCCTCTCCCCCTTCCTTTCTGCCTCCAGCGGAGGTTCTCTCCACCCCATGGCTTGGGAGAGCTTGGCAAAGGGAGTCTTACGGAGCATCTCCTGGCGGAAGTCATGATTGCTGTCCCTCGGATAGTTCCTCCCGTCGAGGCCTGGCACGGTGCCCTTCCTGGGCTTGGCGGCCCGCGGGTTGGTGCCAATGTCGGCAGTGATGTTGGTATAAAGGGGCAGCATTTCCTTGGACAACAGGGTGTAGGAGAGAGAGTTCATGCCGTCCTGGGTCCAGGTGCGGTACGTCCGGATCAGCAGATCGAACCTGCAAAGAGAAACAATTCTGGAAATCTTGCAGGTTCTTCTCTCTGATTGGCGTCCGTGCCTCAGGGCTAATCTGGGAGGGGGTTTAATCCTGGTTTTATCGCATCAACCGCAACTGACCACCTTCGCAACGCACGAAGCGATAAACCGCGGTCGGCACGGAAGGTAACCTCAAAAATCTCGCCGGGACTTTGTGCAACGTCTGAACCGAGCCGATTCTGAGCACGCTTTCCCCCTTCGCAGAGCATATGGACTCGTGACTAATTCAGGGGGCTGGGTTGAACGAACCGGCCGTTTCTTAAAAGCGCCCCTCGGCCTGCGCGCTTGGGGGTCTCTTGCATCGGGCCGGGATCTTTCCACAGGCCTAGGAGCGCACCCCATCCTTGACACTGACCTGTGGGGGTTCTGCTCGTTGCCTTCGTCGCTCTTGTGTTTCACCATTTTATAATGGCCGACGGACACCGGAGGGCGTAAAATCTTCATCCCTCGGAAGCGCACCCTGGGAAAGCGGGATCAGATCAGATCGGAAGGGCTGGCCGTTCAGTTTCCAAACCTTGAAACCCTTCCGAGGCCTTGATTCCCTTGAGCGGTGTTTCTCAAACCTGGCAACTCTAAGATGTGTGGACTTCAGCCCCAAGGATTCCCCAGCCAGCCACTCCAACTCCCAGAATTCCCCATGCTGGCTAGGGAATTCTGGGAGCTGAAGTCCACACATCTTAAAGACACCAAGGTTGAGGAACACTGCTCTTAGTGAGACACCTCCAGAAGCAGGAAAAAAAGGGGGGCCAACATGACTGCACCCCCCGAGCCGAGCCTCCTGCTGAATTTCCCCTCTGCATCGCTCTCCAAACTTCTTTGACCTTCCAAGCAAGGTTAAGATTCGAAGTGGGTTTCCTTGCAGAGGAGACCGAGCAGTTGCCATGGTTTAAGGCAGTGTTGTCCAAACTTGGCCACTTTAAGATGAGTGGACTTCAGCTCCCAGAATTCCCTAGCCAGCATGGGGA